TCTCTCTCACACACACACACACACACACACACTCACTCGGTGGCTGCTCCATCTGCACCATCAGACTCTGTAAGGCATAGAGCGCCTGCAGCTCCTTCTGCTCGTCTTTAATGTAGCGCTGCAGCAGCTTGGCCCTCTGGGTAATTTCTTTAGTGTCTACTTTATATGGATTCTCACCTTGATAATGACAGGATGAAAACAACATTAAAGCCAACATGACTTTTACTTTTTGACATTATTATAAAGAAAAATAACACTAAAACATCTCGGTTCTGCTGATGCAGGGATTCAGAAACATTTTTGTCAGTCGAATCGCTTCTGACCTAAAATATTTCCTTGCAGTCTGTCTGAAATTTTAACTCAACATTTGAATGATTTAACACATTTACATGTTCATGGTTCTCTGATATCAGTGGTCACTTAACATGCAGCTAAACAAATATTTAATCTTTTTTATTAAGGGTTTTATTTTATTTATAAATGTATTTTGCTTTTTAAATTTAGTTTTATTAATTATTACAAATAATTACTTCCTTTCCAACAACTTACAAACCCCCTGCAGTTCACTAAAGAATCCAATTATTTTAAAATAATTTCATTTACATATACATTTATTAATTTGGCACGTTAACTATATACTTTAACTATAATTATTACATTAATTATTAACTTTTCAACAACTTACAACCTCCCTGCAGTTCCCCCAAGAACCCATTATTTTATTACTATTTATTTAATTTACAATTAATTATTAATTATAATATTTATATATATTTAATGTATATGAATATTACATTAATTATTGATTTCTCAACAATTTACAAACTCCCTACAGTTGCCTCAAAAACCCCCAGTTATTTTATTATTATTATTAATTTCATTTACAATAATTATTCATAATAATATTCATAAACATTAATCATAAATAACTATTAACATTAATTATTGACTTTTCCCCCCCAACAGTTTATATCGTTATATTACGATTTTATTTTTATTTTAGGTAAAGTTTTAGTAATTTTGTTGTGTGTGTTTGTCACTTTTATTTTTATGTCTTTTTTGTTTTAAATGTCTACATAGCTTTTTTTTTTTTAAATCAATAAGTTTAATAAAATATTAAAGCTGCAAGCAGCGATGATGGCCCTCGCACCCGGTGGCTTTAGGAAAACAGCGAACGGTGGGCAATATGCATTTAAAGTGGTAAATATAGGAGGAATATGTCCAAGTCCTTTATATGTGCCAAACTTCCTGCTGCCAGCTGGTGGCGCTATGATTATAACAGAACATTGGCATGTAAATGTTTTCAGGCCAGGACTCTTACCAAACATATGAAGTTAGGGGCAGATCGGACATTGCATGTTTAAGTTAGTGTAAAACAAGTAATTTCCTGTTGCCAGCAGGTGGCGCTATAATTATAATTGAATATTGGCCTTTAGATGTGTTCAGGCCTGGACTCTTATAAAACATGTGAAGTTTGAGGAAGATTGGGCATTGTATGCATGAGTTACAACAACTTCCTGTTTCATGGCGTAACATCAAACTTTGTCAGGCCGCCAGGGACACGCCCCTTGACGAAAACTCAAGATCTTCGCAATTTAGGATCGCAAAGGCCTTAAGATAACCCTCACCAAATTTGAAGATGATCCGATTAAAACTGTAGGAGGAGTTCATCAAAGTACGAGGCCTGGAAACAACAAAAAAAATACACAAAAATCGTACAGTAACTTCAAAATAACGGACTTCCTGTTGGGTTTCGGATTTTGTACCAAGATACTTTTTTGTAGGTAATGGTGTGTTACACGTGTGTACCGAGTTTCGTACATGTACGTGAAACGTAGCTCGAGGTGCACTCCGTTGAAATTTTACAGGTGGCGCTATCGAGCCATTTTGCCACACCCACTTCTGAAACCCATATCAGATGTAAATTTTCGCCAGTTCTGACGCGTGTGCAAAGTTTTGAGCATGTTTAGGCCCTCAAAAATGCGATTCACTTTGGAGAAGATCATCGGTGCTCGGGCCCTAATAAATTAGCTATTTTAGTACATCAAGTTAAACTAAATAAAAACAAGAAATGTTGCCTTGGCAGCTAGCTGTAATAAAATTATATATTTTTTTATTTCAGTTAACACACAATCAAATCCTGTTGTATTAAAGGACTCACAGATGATGGCACACTGACAGACGGTGGTCATCAGAGCTCGGACAAACGTGCTCGATGATGTTTGCTGCTCGTCTAGACTGGCCTGCAGAGAGAGAGGTCAAAGGTCACGGAGGTGAAACACAGCTACAACAGCTAGAATACATCTCCAACTAAATTGTGTCATTCATATTTGTAGCTTTAAAGTACAGCTCCTAAGCGGACATGATGATGGATAAAAAATATATTTCAACGCTTCTGTGTTGGCTTGCAAAACATCTGTTCCCCGATAAACTCATCTGTGCCGTGAACACAAAAGCATTAAAACTTTTGCATTTCCCCCAAGAAACTTTGTGTTTGCTTGCAAAACTACTGTGTTCCTTTTCCATCCAGCTCATATTTTTTTCCCATCACCAGAACTCTGACGAAAGCATTGGTGAGATTGCAGAAATGGCATTGCAATAAGGAGATCATAGTGATCATCTAAGAGAGGTCCACATGTAATGCTCATTTCATATGCAAATAAGTTAGCCAATCACAGCAGTGGGTGTGGTCTCACAGCGGACACGCCCCTTCTGACAAAGAGGCTAAAATCAGGGAAGAAAATTAGCATTTACATTTAAATTATGACTGTTTTTGGTGAAAAAAACACTGATTATAAGTGCACTTCAGGAAACATTATAAAATCATTTAAAAATGCATTTCATGACCCCTTTAAGGCACACACCAGAGGTGTAAAGATACCTGAAAACCACACTTGAGTAAAAGTACAGATAGCTTGCAGTTAAAATTACTCCATGACATGTTACAAGTAACCAACTCCAAAACAGCTTGAGTAAAAGTCTTAAAGTGTCTGATTTGAACAGTACTTAAGTATTTTACTTAGAGGCTCAAAGATGCACTAGTCAAAGAGACATGGCAGTGAAAAACTGTAACGTTGTGGAGAAGTTAGAGAAAACAGGATCTATGTGCAGGTATTTAATGGAAAAACCAGAACAAACAGACAACCATTACATTCAACAACTCACAAAGAACTAAAGAAACACTAGGGGTGTATATAGACGATTACGATTCAGAGGGATGCGATGCGATGATAAAACGATTAACGATGCATCTTTTGTTTTAATACATATTTGCTTTTTTCTCACTGTCTGACTATTGAAGCTAAGTATCTGGAATTACCCATAATGAATTTACTTCCAAGATCTTTTATTAATAAAACAAATGTCAGTGATTTGGCAAGTCAACAAGAAGGTTACAAAGAACCAACAGGAAATGAAACATATGCCTGTAGCAGCAAACTTGTAGTAAATTAATACCGACTTAAGCATATTCTGTAATATGGTTTCTCATATTTATTGTGTTTCCAAAATATTTTAGTCTGGCTTGACAACTTGCATACAGTGTGGCTCCCCCTTCAACTTCATAGAAGCCAAAGTGCTTCCATACGCTAGCTTTTAACGCAGACGGTGCCGGTCTGATTTCAGAAATAGAAAATAGATTTTTGACATTTGTGAATCGATTCAGAATCCTCCACGTCTGCATCGCGATGCATCTAAGAATCACATTTTCCCCCCACCCCTAACAGACACTCATAAAAATGTAGTGAAGTTGAGAGTAAAGGTTGCTAATATCTTTGATACTCAGTAAAAATAAAACGTATCCGAAAGGATACTCAAGTACAGTAATTAGTTACATTTACTCAAATACTTTACAACTCTGGCGCGTGCACACACACACACACACTCTTACACAACCTCACCGCGACAGCCCTAACACACACACACACAGACAGACATACTCTTATACACACACACCCGCACACACACTCTTATACACACACACACACGCACGCACACACACACACGCACTCTTACACACACACACACACAGACATACTCTTACACACACACACACACACACTCACACACACTCACACACACAGACATACTCTTATACACACACACCCACTCTTACACACACACACACACACTCTTACACACACATTCGTACCTCCACCCAGTCAAAGATCCTCTGGTTGTCTGCTTTCTCCTGCAGGAGTCGCTCCAGCTCTCTAGAAATGTCTTCTGGACTCAGAGTCCCTTTACTGCTCTTCCTCACACACTCCTCACCCAGAGTGAACTCCACTCCCTGCACGCGCACACACACACACACACACAACACATTATATAAGTAACAATCATCAATCAATCTGCTGCGGTTTTGACTGAATTCATCGCCAACCTCTTCAGTGACAAATTTATTGACGTCCTCGTCTTCGGGGAGTAAGTCTTTCCAGCTCAGCGCCGCGTCTCTCCACATCACTCCCGCCTTCTTAAGACTCTGAGACAGGAAAGAGTTCAGAACGGACACTTTCACAACTTCATTCTGACATCGCTCCCTATGTAGTGCACTATGTGGTGTGTCAACCATGCTGCAGTGTAGTTTGAATTGCATTCCCCACTCTTTTGTACCCATAATGCACTTTATAGTGTACAACAGGCATTTGCATTAGCATCTGAATTAGCTAACTTAGTGTCACTCACTTTGTAGTGAACGAGCAAGCAATTTGGGACACGGCAAGTAGGATTGTATGATTTGGGAATTCTAAAAAAAATGATACAAGTACTAGTATTTATAGCTGTCTTCATTTCTTCATTACATGTTGTTAAATTACTGAATTTCAATTTAGGTGGAAAACCGCAGGGAAGCTTCTCTTTTGACAACAGCCAGATTATAAGCGCATGTTGCATTTCCAAATGCACAAGTAGGATTGTTTGATCTGGGGAAAAAAACCTGATTTTCTAATAAAAATTAAAAAAATTTCCCTGATGTGACTGCAATTTAAAAAACAATAATCCCCCCCCAAAAAAAAAAACACTCCAGGTTTGCTGCACAACTTGGAAAAAACGTTTGTGATTATATTTCATTATGACTAAAAAAAAACAAAAACAAAATTATATATATATAAAATACATACATATATATTTCGCTTCGCATCGCTTCACATCGGGTGGTTCTTTGCCTCCGCGTCGTGCATTTAAAATCCTTTAATACACGGCAAGCCGTTGATTATCCCTTACATATATATAAACAAAAATAATTTTTATTATTCCAAATAATAATATTATCTTGTTACCAAATAAAATTATCGAACAAAATAATAAATAATAATGTAATATTTGACTGTAAAATAAAAAATAAAAAAGTGAACTTAAATGTGTATGTAATAATAATAATAATAATAATTATTAATATTACTATAGTTTTTATTGTAATTATTATTACCTAGTATAATTATTAAACAAAATAAGAAATATTACTAATGCAAACAAATGTAAATTATTTAATAAAATGTAAAAAAACTACAAAAAAATTTTTTTAAATGAAAATTACATTAATTATAATTATTAATAATAATTTATTTTATTTTACAGTAAAGCTGTAAAATTACAACACTAATATTTATGGCTTTCTCAAATTCTTCATTTCTTTAATTTCAACAGTTTAACCACAGGGAAGCTTTGCTTGGTTTTGTTGACAACGACCGGTTTATAAGCGGTTTAAAACAAACAGTTTCCACATGTTGCGTTTCCAAATGCACAACATAAATGACTCCAACTCAGAGCAGATGCAGAGATTAATTTGCGTGAAGCAGCATTTACTGACAACGAAAACAGCGCATCGTGAGCCGCTCGTGTGTAAATGAACACAGTGCCGCGCTTCACTCTGAAAGAAGAGCATTTATTTAATTAAATCACAGATTTTGCGATTTGAAAATCGCACCGAGCCATATTGTATTTTTGGTTATAAAACAGAGAGTTCCGGTCCTTGATTCTGATTGGCTGAGCCGCGTTCTAAGCTGTTGTAAATTACTCTACAAAGTAACATACACCTTTGTTTACTTCTGTGTGTTGCTCGGCAACCACTTTGTTACAACCACAACTGTTTCTGAGGAGCTACATTGTTTGGTGGAAGAATACTGTTTTTATTAATATCATTAGACTTTATTTGCTCCGTTTTATTCTGTGAAACCTTACTACGTATATGGAATAACCGTTTTATAACAGCTACCTAACAACGCCCCTTAGCTGTTATAAATTCACTGTAAACCACGGCTTCTTGGGGCTTATTGCTTTATTTTATTTCAATGAATCATGCAGCCTTGGTGTCTAACAGGAATGAATGAATTCTCACAAGCGTCTTACCATTGCTTTACAGAGCAGCTTGAGGATTTCCACCAGCAGAACTCCAGCCTTCCCAAGAGGCACCAGCGGTTTAGACACCTCCCTGTGAACAGGTCAGAGGTCAGACGCTTGATTTCTGTGTGATGTTATTGGCAGGTGATGGCTGTGAAGGGTTTGCAGGCTCACCTGAAGAGCGGCCCCATGGGAATCCCTCCCTCCTGCAGCATGGGACTGATGAGCTCAGCCAGATACAGCCAGATGTGAGGAATATCTATCGCCATGTCCTCCGCAACCTCCAGCACCTCCAGCAGCCTGCAACAATCATCACCATTGGATTTAATGTGTTCTATTTATATACATGGGTCAAAGACGTTAAGATGTCCACATCAAAAGAAATGTACTAAAGTGATTGTATGTCCATAGAAAGCACATTAAATGTAAGTAAAGTGTCTACTTTAAAGGTTTCAAATAAGTTTTTGGAGAAAAAAATGTTAAAATTTGGTTGAAATAATGTTACATTGTCATTCAGTGTAACACAACATTTATGTAGAAATTCAAACATGCTTATTCTGACGTGTACATGTTAAAATATATAAAAGAATAAGAGAGCATATTAAATTTGATTGTGTTTTAAATGAGTAAAAAATTATTACTGACAAATGGGCAAAACCTAGGATAGTGGCACATTTAAAAAATGTAAAATTAGTATTTGGGGTGAAAGTAATTAGTCTTTTAATATGTCATAAATTGAGTTTTGTTGTAAATATGCCTTATATATGTATAAGAAAATGACAAAAACGCAAAAAAAACTAAATTATTAAGGTTAAAGTGAAAACTGAAAATATAAAAATAGTCTAATTCAAAATATTAACAAAAAATAATAAACTATTATAGCTTTTTGTTAATATTTTGAATTAAAACATTTTTTCAGTATTTTCAGTTCGTTTATACTAAAATAACATGTTATAAATTAGTTATTATAGTTAACTAGAACCATAAAAAAATATTATAATCACTTGAAATAAATGTTAACTAAAAAAAAAAAAAACTAAACTTGACAAATAAAATAAATACAAATTATAAAGCAGACAATAAAACTGTGTGCCTGACCTAATTATAATAATTATATTTATTATATTAAATAAATATACATATATAAAACCATAACAAAATATTTTCGCTAGTGCTGTGTTCAAAATATCGATACGACGATGTATCGTCACAGAGATTTGACA